GGTGGTAAAGGAAAAACTATGGAAAAAAAAAAGAAGCCTTTTTTGGAGAGAGGGTGAGGTGGAAAAGGTTGAAAAGGAGTTTTGGAAAATGTTTTCCCTTCTCTTGATAAGGAAAATATTTTCCTCCAAAAATGAGTTCATAAGAAAAATGTTTTCTAAAACATTTAAACCAAACAATTTCTTTCCTTGTTTTTGTTGTTGTAACATTTGGTATCGTATGTGTCACCATGATTTATTTGTTGAATCCTTTGAATTGAAAAGCTTTTCATCTGATTTTGATTTACTTAAATTTGAGACATAGTTGACTATTAATCTTCTCTCTCTTTCATCTGGGGTCATAATATTCATAAAGTGTCATACTAAAAAGAAATTTTAATTAATTGATTATACAGTTACCATTTCATTGAAAAATACATAGTGACACATAAATAACTACTTATTGTTATCCCTTTAAAACTTTATGTATTTAAAATTGAATTAGATTGATTTTAAACTTTCTCGTGTTCCACGCTATTTGAAAATCCAATTTCTTACATTATTTTTTCCCATTGTCGTTATACTTATTTTCACACTTTCCATTCATAATTGTCAAAATATTTAAAACACGAAATAGAATTCAAATCTTTACTACTACTTACTAATAGGGTGTACAAATGAAACCGACAATCCGCACCAATTCGAAAATTCGAGTTAAATTGAAAAAAAAAATTTGACTATGATTTTGTTTGATTTGATTTGATGTTGGGAAAAAGAAACCCGACCATAACTGGTTTGGTTTGATTTTAACTAAAAAAAGTCAAACCGAAACCAAACTAACCCGATATTAGGAGTATGGAAGTATTAAATGCATTTAATACATAAAAATATTTATTGTAGTGTAGTTTATAAATATTTCTTAAACTTTTTCAGAGTTTTATCTTTTAACGTATTATTTCAAGTTTGCACTTATAATTTTTGAATTCTCCAATAAGTTTTATAGTCCATAAATGTTTGTAACTCAAATAAATACTAAACCAAAATCAAATCAATACTAATGCTAATAGAAAACATTCAATTCAATTGTACTATGAATGAAAGTAGTGTTGGATATCTAATTTTTAGTTTTTTCATAGTTTAGATAAAATGCATCTTATTTTTCTTTTAGTATTTAGTCATGTAAATAATACTCCCTCCGGTCCAAAATAAGTGTTTTTAACTGTTTTTACACAGATTAAGAAATTCACCTTTTAACATTAATTAACAATGAAATTAACCATATTAACCTTTACTATCTCTTCAAATAAACACTCCTAATACATATTCCAACACTATTAACTCCAAGGGCAATGTAGGAAAAAAAATAATCAATTCATTCTTGAAATCTGAAAAAATTACTTATTTTGGATCACAAAAAAAGCCAAAAATCACTTATTTTGGACCGGAAGGAATAATACTTATTAATCGTATATTTTAGCAACTTAGTAATTTCAAATTATGTTTGTTTTCGTTATTGGCATATTAATAATATTTATTTTATGCGATTTTATTATCTTATTGTTGAATATTTAGTATAATGCCATTACTCATCTCATATTTATGCATTTTATTTTATTAAAAAAATATTTTATATAGTTCTATCTTACTAGGATTGAAGAAATATTTGAATATGAAAAAAATTCCAAGAAAATCCAAAATTTAAAAATCTGACTTTTATTGGTTTAGTTTAGTCTTTACATTTAATAACGCGACATTTATTCCAAAAAAAGGAAAAGCAGTAGAAGAGAAAAGCAAAACTAGAAAACCAAGAAAGCGCCTGGGAAAGCACTACACCTTACACAGCAGCATTTCTCTGAATATTCTCAAATTAGTGGTATTCGCCGGGAAACTTCATCTTTTCCGATCACCGGTAATTTTCTTGAAAACCCTTTTACTCTTTTAATGTGGTTATGGGTTCACTTTGATCATCTTTTGACTGCTGCTAAAGCTTTGATCTTTTGGTTTCTGCTCATTTCCACGTGTCTTTACTGTGTGAAAATTATAACTATAAATTAAAAGAAAACAAAGATAAAACCTACTACAGCAGCTTATAAAAGCATGACTTTTTGTTGTGGGTTTTGGTAAAAATGAATTCTTTAGATAGAAGGTGGGATTGCATATACTTTCCTTATTGTAGGTTTATCAAAGAAAAAATCTTGCTTTATTTTGGAATTTCTTTTTCTTGGTATGTTTCGTTTGATGAGTACAGTGGAGCTCAGAAATTCTGTATTGTTCACCCTGCAATTACTCTAAAAGGGAATTCAAGTGTTAAGCCTTAGTTTAAACCCCACCTTGTTTAAGTGTTCAGCAATTTGAAGTATCATTTCTTTGTAGTTTCTGTTCTAGAGTTCAAATTTGATGAGCATTGAGCTTGCTCAAATAGGAGAAATGGTGTTGTGTTTTACCTTCTGTTTCCGATTTTTCTTTGTTGATCCATCTTTCCACTTCATACATGCATGCCTTTGGTTATTACTTCTTTATGTGCTCAGGACCAAGAATGCTACTAGTTTTTTTAAACTACATATGCAAAAACTACTGCTATCTAAAAGAAATTCCTTTTGTGTTTTTTGAATTATTAATATTATTATCATATTGGGGGAGAGGGAAGCGTGAGGAGGAGGAGGGAGGAGGGAAGTGGTGGAGAATAAAATACGGCAATATGAATCTTCACCAACATGGTAAAAGGTGTGTAAACTCAGCAAGGAAGCTATACCCTAATCCCCCTCTAGATGAAATTCCTTCACTTGATGTAAGTAAGCATGTAGCTGGACATTAACAGCACAGTATTCAATTGTATTGATGGAAAATTCCCTAGCTCAATGGTTGACTAGTTTATTACCTCTTCTGTCAAACTGGAAATGAGTTCCGTCGCAATTGTAAATTCAATTTTCTGCCTGTAAAACTCTTTGTTGGATCAATTGTTTTAACTATCGACACATTGCTTAGACAATTCGATTGTTGCAAGCTGTTGTTACCCGAAGATTAGATGCAAAGAGAACTTTCTACTAGATGGCGTAACATAATCTGACTGTTCAAAATGATGTCTTGCTCCTAATTTGAGCTGCAAGCTTGAACTTGCACGTTGTTGAGCTACCTAAGAATTGGCACGTGAGAAATAGGTGGATATGTCCAGTTGGAAGCTACTAGTAGTCCAGCTTATCTGTTAAAAATATATCTTCGGTCCTTTGCTCACAGGAGTTTAAGTGGACTTGGAGCCATTGACTCTAAAGTCTGACTGTGTGAGAGGTTTAGAGTTTTTAACTGTTGACCTGTCATAGCTTTTAAATAGGCTTTTGTGTATATCGTTCCTCCTAGGAAAATTGTTCTCACCTTTATCATGCTTCTTTAGTACCTTTGCAGAATTTGGAGTCCAGAATTTTTTAGCTTTGTCTAGATTGATTCCTTTTCAGGGCAGAGGCTCTGGGTTTGGAATTTTACAACTCAATGATTCATTTGAATCCACCAATTTAATTTGTTGAGAAGTCTGAACTATAACGATACTTGGTATAAGCTAAGTTCAGTGTTAGCAATTTCCTTCTTTCCATTATTTTGGCATGTATTGGGTTAGGATAGTGGGGATAGAGGGCTCTAAAGTAGAATTATGTCATGAGGAATCAGTGGTATAAAACTATAAATTACTTGGTCTCCACACTCTACCAGTTTCGTTGCTTACCTTTTGCAAGACCAAGATGAAACAGTATGCTCTTGGTTCTTTGTTGAGTAAATGTTAGCTGGTCTTTGTAACACCATAACTTGAAGGTGCTTGAAAGGGAAATATCAAACCGAAATTTTCTGCCTCAACCACTTTAAACTTCTGGTCCGTGGTGCTGCTATTTATTCTTGGCGTTCTAAGGGAATAGGAGCAAGGAGTTTCTCTCCCTTTTGATTAATACAATTTACCTTATAAAAAAAAAGGGAATAGGAGCACACCTTATCCCAAAAGGGGTTTCGACGCTGTTAGGACATGGCTCTTATGTTAGTGCTACTGTGAATTCCGTTAGGGGATTCGTTTTTCTGGATAAGTTCCACTAATGTATTTTATGGAGAGGGGTACTACTCCCTTTGTTTTTTTGGGTAGAGAAACGTGCCTGTCTCTTTTGTCAATGTAGATGTGCTTATGATTTTCTGTGGAATGGCGTTTTTATTTTCAGCTATTGGCTGGTGATTCCTTTTTTTGGGGCTTATTGAAAAAAAAGGGCCAGGTTTTGGTATAGTTGGGCTAATCTGAACCAAGTTCAGTAAAAAATATGCTCATGTTATGGTTTTAGTTAATGGTTAACATTTCATATGATTATCTGGATTGGTAATGGAACTTTCTTTCCTCTTCATCCTTTTATCTTTCATTATGATGCAATATGACCCACAGAATTCTGAATACGTATGAGAATATCTTCAATCTCTATGAGTACATAGAATATCTTCAGTCTCTATGAGTACATATTTTAATTTGTTCATCTGTCTTTTCATCTACAGGTTTCTGGTGTCGAACGATGATGCCAGAGTCAACGGATGATTCAGATAAAGCCAACACTAACCGTGAGAGTCAAGTAAAGGAAGACAGCGAGTATGTGAGGCTTGTTATAAGAAATGAAAGAACATCTGAAGTTGAAACTTCACAATCCCAATCACTGTCCAGAAGAGAGTCTATTATATGGTGGATCAAGGCCATTATTGGGTGTATTTTCACTGTGATAATTCTTCTAGTTTTCATAAAGTGGGGAGCGCCCTTTCTTTTTCAGAAGGTACTCCTAATTTTCGTTTTGATCATGCTATTATCTATATACTCCATATGTCCCTATTTGGTCAGTGCTCTTTCATTTTTTGTCCGTCCAAAAGATTGACACATTTCCATCTTTAGAAACTAGCCACTTTAACATTCCACTTGACATTGACATGACTTGTAGGCTCACTGAGTATAAACCAAATTGTTTGGTACAAGGGTATTTTGGTATTTCATGCATATTCAGCTTATGTTTCAAAGGTCTCTGCCTCGCCCTTTTTTCTTAATTTTGTGTCAAGTCAAACAATGCCAAACAAATCGAGATGGTTTGCTTGAGTTGTAGGCATATATGAATCCTCTTATGTTGATTAAAAATGACTGAATGGCATGAGATTCTGGCAGATTGGATCATTTTCTGTTAACAGATGTTACACAGTGCATATAGCATTGCTGGGAATTAATGAATATGTACTATGTTGGGCATCTGCAAATTAACTTTGATTAGTTTTGTGAGCTGCACCAAAAATATTGATAATGAAACTGGAGGTGGAGAAAGATAACACTTCCCCTTTATTTATTAAACTGGAAATTAGCGTGATTCAGCTCAAGATTCTCAGACACGGGACGGACTCCGCCTGTACCTTACAAGTGCATTACTCTTCCAATGGATATTTTGTTTTTCTTCTTCTGTTTCTTAGTGTAGAAGATGCATAAGTAAGGTTTCCTTGTTAATCATTGCATTTTTTAAGTTTACAGATTCTAATTCCAATCCTACAATGGGAAGCCACCACATTTGGCCGTCCAGTGCTTGCTCTCGTAATTGTAGCTTCTTTGGCACTGTTCCCGGTATTCCTAATTCCTTCTGGACCATCAATGTGGCTCGCTGGGATGATCTTTGGATACGGACTTGGATTTGTTATTATAATGGCTGGAACAACAGTTGGGATGACCTTGCCATATTTCGTTGGTTTGCTTTTCCGAGATAGAATTCATGTGAGATACCTTCATGTCTTGTCTAGTTTATTACGTAGTTTATTGGTCTTGTGGACTGGTAATAGTAATTTCCTGTATTGTACTTCACGCTGTTTAGTTGATTGCATCTGCAGCAATGGTTAAAGAGATGGCCTCAGAAGGCAGCCATGATTAGACTGGTGGGAGAAGGGAGTTGGTTTCATCAATTCCGTGTGGTTGCAGTATTTAGGATTTCGCCATTTCCGTACACAATCTTCAATTATGCAGTGGTAGTGACAAAGATGAGGTTCTGGCCTTATTTTTGTGGATCTATAGCAGGAATGATTCCGGAATCCTTCATTTATATCTACAGGTAAATACCCCACACAGCACCCCTCCCTTCTTTTCTATGTTTATTTGCTTATGTTGTCTTCCTGCAATTTGTATTCAGTGGTCGGCTAATGAGGACATTTGCGGATGTGCAATATGGGAACCATCACCTGACTAGAGTTGAGATTGTCTATAATGTTATTTCATTCATTATAGCAGTCATCATTATAGTGGCTTTCACAGTCTATGCCAAGAGGACACTGAGTCAACTTGAAAACGAAGAAGAAAACAATGGTGAAGGCTCTGCCTCTAACCGTGGGAGGTTAGAAATGGAACCTCTCCCAACTGAAAACTCCAAGTATCCTAGTTTTTGCTCAACTTTGTAGTAAGAGGAATGTTAACCCTCAACTGTCTAGGGAACTAGTGTAAATAATTTGAATTGGAGCGGCATGTTTTATATATCCCTCCATATTTGTATCTAGAAATCGAAAGATGCTTATTGAGAAAAAAACAGTGTTATGTAACTAGAGCTAATGCCTGACTAATTGATCCTGGAAAATGAAGACAACATTTGATTGTGGAGCATGGACATCTCTCCCTCTCTCTCAGTGCAAAGACAGCCACGTTTACTCTTAAAAGAATAATTAATTGTTCCATTTTTATTATGTTCATCAGAAATGCTAATAACTGTATAATTAAGGAGTTGTGTGATGATTGTTTAGATAAGAAAGTTCAACAGTTGATGAGATGCCTTCAATTGCAGGTCTCTTAGAAACACAGATGTTTTCTAGTGTTTCCATGGCCATCTTATTTTGGGTTGATGAACCAGCTCTACCACCTGATCCCCATAACTTGATACACTCCTCTATATGCTGATTTAATATCTCTTGCTTAAATCTGCTTCCCATCTGCGTCCATGTCAAATTTGAATAAATCACACACAATTCTTACTGAATAGTCAACAATAAGAAGGTAGAGAGGCTATTTCCGGAAGACCCTTGTCATCATTGTGAATTATATATATANTTTGGCTTCTTAAAAATGCCCTTAGATTTTAATCTCATCACATTAAAATCTAAGGGCATTTTTGAGAAGTCAAATATGTATACAATGCTAACCTATTACAACTATGTAGTAGGTTTATATATATATATATATATAAATCCTTAAAGACATGGTGTAGAAGAACTCTATACCTGTGTGACAAGAGCATATAAGGGCAAAGTACTGTAACTGCAAAGAACTTGGACAATCACCCTGACACAACAAAATGTAAATCAATACTAGTGTTTCTTGAAATTAAAAAAAAATTACTATGGGATGTGAGGGGTTTACCCAATAACAAGTCTTGGAATGATTAAACCCAATTCTCCCATGATGCATGATTTGAATCCATCAGTAGACTGAAGAATTGTCAATTAACTTGGTGTTGATGTTAGAAGCTCTCAGCTAAGGTAAATAAAAGTAAGAAAAGTGAAGTTACCCAAATCCAGACGATGAAAGCAATCTCAAAGGAGTTTTGGACCAAAATGAAGTGAATGAGGTTAAGGACAAGAGTTGGACTGTGAAACCAAAACAATTCATCAGAAGGTCTAACTGGTCTGGTTTCATCTATTACTGACGACCTCTCTGCTATCTCTTGAGCCAATTCTGTTATTATGAGTTCCAATTTTGTTCTCACTAGTAGTAATAGCTGCATATATTTTTACACACGTCATAATATATATATATATATATATATATATATATATATTAAATAAAGCAACTTGACTATGATGATCAATCCCAACTTGCTCGAGATTGAAACATAATTATATGACATGTGTGAATCTTTTGGAGTCTCTCAATAATCTTGTTTATCATAATTATCTTATCGTTAAATAAATAACTTGAAGTGAACTTTAATTAGCCCTCAGCTTTTCACATTTTTAACAAAAGTCAGATATCAATGGACTTATAATTCGTTGGCATATTTCATTAAATTCTAAGTTTGAAATTGAATATGACTCAATTTTTACCCAAAATGGCTTCTTTTATTCTTTTTTTTTCTTTTGTTTTTGAGTTCTTGGCATTGAGAAGGGGGGTGGGGGAAAAAAGATTAGTCACTTACAACTAGAGGTAAAAATGATAGCCAAAAATAGGTGTTCCATCCTGCAATATTGAACCATACATTAATAGGAGCGTTTCATTGTTCAAAGTGAAATATATAATTCCATATTACTCCCTCTGTTCAATTTTACTTGTCCGCTATTCTAAAAGTAGACTTTGTTTTTTACTTGTCTACCTTCGCATATCAAGAGAAAAATAATTTATTTTCATATTTTGCCCTTAGCATTATTTACTTGTTCTAAATCATTTTTCAAATCCATTAAGACTATAAACCAATTAATATGAGTATCATAGTAAAGTATGCACTTTATTTATTATTTCTTAAGGAGTGTGCAAAGTCAATACTTGACAAATAGAAGTGAACGGAATGAGTATTAAGATTCATTAACTGGGATAGAAAAATACCTGCAATGTTCATCAACAAAAGGAGAACGACAAAAAGCCACAAGTACCAACTGTTCAAGATCATTTTCCAAAATTTAGCTTGATTATATATAATTGAATCTAAATTATAAAGTTATTATTCTAGCTATAATTAATATATGAATGCTAATTACCTGATTCTGACAATCTTTTTGAAATCATGCTCTAGTGTCCGCATCATATATTTGTGAAACTCATATTTAGGAAGGGCTGGACAATGTTCCTATATACATAAAAAATGCTCTATAATTACAAAAACTGCATTTCCAACAAAAACATAGAATTGAAACAAAGGAATGATTAATGAAAGATAATGTAAAGAATTACTACTGCTTACTGTGATAAATGCAGATCGCAAGACAATATACTCTGACTTGGTTACTGAAACATAAAATTGTTTGAAAAATGCCACCTATTATATACACATGAAGAATGTTAACTCTCCTACCAAGGAAAAAGGAAAAGAAAAATCTTATTTCTTAATTTTCCACATTCTTGAGGAATATATTTTATGTGTTTGGTATGAGGAAAAAAAATCCGGAAAAAAGTCATTTCAAGGAATTTAAAAAAAAAAATGAAAACATGGAATTCTCACTTCGTGTGGAATCATTTTCCTTCCCATCTATTTCAATGCATAACATCATATTACAATTAAACATTATCATTTATTTTCTTTATCGAAACATTATCTCATTTGCTAATATTAATATTATTATTTAATAAATATATTTTAGAAAGTAAATCTTAATTTTTTCAAAAAATAGTTTCTGACATTATTGTCATTCTTAGTAACTTTGTAAAAAAAAAAAAAATATTCTTCGCTCTCCAACCAAATATCGATCATTTTTCCAAAACTACTTTATGAAAAATGTTTTAAGTCATGCCAAATATGCCAGGTCAATTAACTTACCGTCCAACTCACGACAATATACTTCCTCCAACGTCTACCAGATCTATCCATAAATGATTTAAGATGGAGAATATGCACTACACATAGAGAAGATATCAGGGTAATCTATATCTATATTATATTAAAAGGAGAGTAGTGAAGCATGTGATTAAATCAAGTGGTAAGCTAAAATGAAGCCACTTGGCAAGTTTAAGACAACATAAAAAATTTGAATTACAAATAGAAACATAATTAATGCAAGTAGTTTAATGAATCTTATACATAATCTAAATAGATATTTTATATATATATATATATATATA